TGTCGAGTCTATATCTTGTCGACTTTGCTGTCAGCAGAACGGACCCATTTTCTCATTTCACACCAACCATTAACACCTATTTTCTCTATCACTCTTTTAGAAACATTAGCACTCCCTTTGTCTTTTGCTCTTTACCTCCTCATTGTGTATTCTCCTCTTTCCCTCTGCTATCAGCATAAAAACACAATTTTAAGCTCCTTTCAATTCTAAAGAAGAGTCGCATTGGACTCAAAACATTAATTTCTCTCTGCACAGATGTTGCCATACCTGCTGAATGTCTCCAGCATTTCCTTGTTTTTATTTATGGTCCTTTTGTACAGAATGAGGAGCTTGAGTAACTCCTGTTGAGTAAACAGAAAAATAAGGCCTAAAACTAGAAAATGGAAATAAAACCAAGGATTCTTGCATACACATCAGATGATGGAATGAGAGTAGAGGAGATGTCACATTCACTGTTCACCCCTTTGCCAGCAACTGGCCTATTCCCTGCTCAATGGTCCTAAGGAAACACTTTATCTTCTTACACAACTCTCCCCTTGGCATACACAGGAATCTCCACATAATGAGCGACAATAAGTTACATTCACATAGCACTTTCCTCATAGGAAGACATCACAAGGCCACTTTACAGAAGTAAAAATCCACATTAGCCTAAAAATCGAGAAATTAGGATAAGCAACTAAAAGATTGGCCTCCGAGCTTGAGATTCAAAGTAAAGAGACAGGTGGAGAATCAGAAATTGAGCAGCAAGGGGTCAAAGATAAATCTCTGAGTTAGAGCTCTGTAAAGGTAATGATGCAGGAGCTGGAAGAGACCTGGTTGTGACTAGCAAGTAGAATCCAATATCAAGTTGCAGAGCGTATCAGTGGCAATTCTGCTTCCTAGAGTCAAAAGCTCATACAAAACAGAAGGAGGCTATTTGGCCCATCATGCCTTTGCCAGCTCCTCATGAAAGAGCTCTCCAGGTAGTCTCTGGTCTGTGATGTTTCCACTTTGTGGGCCTCTCTTCAGGTAATTTGTGGCCTGTTCTGGGTCTGGAAAGTTGCCCTCAATCTATGAGTAACTTAATTCAAATGGTAAACAAAAACAGAAGTTGTTGGAAAAGCTCAGCAGGTCTGGCAGCATCTGTGAAGAAAAAATCAGCATTAACATTTTAGGTCCAGTGATCCTTCCTCAGAACTGATGGTAGCTAGGAAAACATCAGTTTATATGCAGAAAATATGGAGGGGGTGGGGTAGGGAGTAAACGATAGGATAAAGGATAGAGCCCGAAGAAAAAGAAGAGCAGTTGGATAGACAAAGGAGTTGATAACGATTTGGCTAGGAGGGTGAAAAGCATGTGATAGCAAGGCCTGGTGTGTGGGGTAGGGGGCTAGGACATGGAAGAGTTTAGTTATTGAACTCAATATTGAGTCCGGAGGGCTGCAGGATCCCCAAGCAGAAAATGAGGTATTATTCTCCCAGCTTGTTTTCAGTTTCGCTATAACACTGCAGCAAGCCAGGGACAGAGATGTTGGCCAGGGAATAGGGTGGTGCATTAAAGTGGCAGGCAACAGGTAGCTCAGGGTCTTTTTTGTGAGCAGAATGGAGATGTTCTGCAAAATGGTCACCCAGTCTACGCTTCGCTTCCCCAGTGTAGAGGAGACCACATTGTGAGCAGCGAATGCAGTAAACTAGATTCTTGGAAGTGCAGGTGAAGTATTGCTTCACCTGGAAGGTATATTTGGGCCCTTGGATAGTGGAGAAGGAGGAGGTAAATGGGCAGATTTTGCACCTTCACCGGTTGCAGGGGATGGTGCCGTGGTGCTGTGGGGGTGTGTTGGGGGTAAAGGAAGAGTGGACCAGGGTGTCCTGGAGGAAAGGGTCCCTGCTGATGGCGAACAAGGGAGGGGAGGGGAATATGTGTCTCGTGGTGGCATCTTGCTGGAGTTGGCAGAAATGGCATCTAATGATCTTCTGGATGTGGATGCTGGTGGGATGGTAGGTGAGGACAAGGGGAACCCTATCACTGTTGCGGGAGGGAAGAGAAGGGGTGAGGGCGGAATTGCAGGAGATGAGTCGGACCTGGTTGAGGCCCCTGTCGACAATGGAGCTGGGGAATCCTCAGTTGAGGAAGAAAGTGGACGTTTCAGAGGCTCCCTCGTCGAAGTTGGCCTCATCTGAATATATGCAACGGAGACGGAGGAACTGAGAATGGGATGGAGTCTTTACAGGAAGGAGGGTGTGAGGATGTATAGTCCAGGTACCTGTGGGAGTCAGTGGGTTTGTGGTGGATATTGGTGGCCAGTCTATTCCCAGAAATGGAAACACAGATGTCAAGAAAGGGACGGGAGGAGTCAGAGATAGACCAGGTGAAAGTTAGGACCGGAACAAAAACAAAGTTGCTGGAAAAGCTCAGCAGGTCTGGCAGCATCTGTGAAGCAGAAAACAGAGTTAACGTTTCGGGTCCGGTGACCCTTCCTCAGAACTGATGGTGGCTGGGAAAACGTCAGTTTATATGCAGAAAATAGGGAGGTGGGTGGGGTAGGGAGTAAGCGATAAGATAGAGCCCAAAGAGAGAAAAAGACAGTTGGACAGACAAAGGAGTTGCTAACGATCAGGCTGGGAGAATGAGTAGTTGTTAATGGGGACTGTTAGTGACTAACAACAGGGGGTATGTAATGGCAGGAAAGTGAGTGCAGGGTGGAAATTGGAAGCAAAATCTGAACTTTTCCAATTGTGGACAAAAGAGGGAAGCAGCACCAATGATATCATCGATATATCGGAGAAAGAGTTGTGGGTGGGGGCCGGAATAGGGCTGGAACAAGGAATGTTCCACATACCCCACGAAGAGATATGCAGAACTGGGGCCCATGCAGGTAGCCATGGCGACCCCTCTGACCTGAAGAAAATGAGAGAAGTTGTTGAGGGTGAGGATGAGCTCAGCCAAGCGGAGAAGGGTGGTGGTGGGTGGGGACGGTTCAGGTCTTTGCTCCAGGAAGAAGCGGAGAGCCCTGAGACCCTCCTGGTGGGGAATGGACGTGTAAAGGGATTGCACATCCAGAGTAAAGAGGAGGCGGCTGAAACCTGCAAACTGGAAATTTTGAAACCAGCGTAAAGCGTTAGAGGAATCACAGATGTACGTGCGCAGGGACTGGATCAGAGAGTGAAGACTGGGTCAAGGTAGGAAGAGGTAAGTTCTGTGGGGCAGGAGCAGGCTGAAACAATGGGTCTGCCCAGACAGTCCTGTTTGTGGATTTTTGGCAGGAGTAGAAGCGAGCTATGCGGGGTTGGGGGACAATTAGCTTGGAAATAATGAGGGGGAGTCACCGGATGAAATGAGATCAGTTACCTTAGTAGATACAATGGCCTGATGTGTCATGGTGGGGTCATGGTCCAGGGGAAGATAGGAGGAGATATTTGAGAGCTGGCACTCAGCCTCTGCAATGTAGAGGTCAGTTTGCCAGACTACAACAGCACCACCCTTATCGGCAGGCTTAATAACAAAGTCAGGGTTAGATCTAAGCGCACTGAGTGAGTCAGTTCGGAAGGAGATAGGTTGGATTTGGTGAGGAAGGCATAGAAATTAAGACGACCAATATCACGTCAATGAACAGATCAAGTGCAGGTAAAAGGCCAGAGGGAGGGGTCCAGGTGGAGAGCGAGTGTTGAAACTGGGTGAAGAGGATCCTGTCGGGTATTCACCATCCCTCCTAACCTTCCGCTCTCCGATGCTGACCGTTCTGTACTCAGCAAAGGCCTCAGCTTTATTCCTCTGCGTCCCCACCTTAATGAATTTCGGGCACGACATGAGGTTGAACTC